TTCCCCCCCCCCCCCTTCTTATTCTGATTCTCCCACTCTTGTTCAGCCCATAGAACTGCTTGCAACAAAGTTATGAAATTTGGCACACAGATAGAGTGATATTCCCAACTATAACCACAGTGAATCTGAAGTCTCTAACTCAAACCCTCTAGTGCCACCAATAGCTCAAAGTTGCACTCACGTTTATGCTAATAACTTTTAAACTGCTAAAGCTGTGGATCATTCAGGTAACAACACAGTATTAAGAATCGAGTGGATGTAACCTTTTGAACAGGGTCATTTCTAGAAATTCAACTATTATTTTCTCTTGTAGACTATATGTAAACGTCTTTTATGTGAAATATCTTATTCAGGTCAGTTCTAAATAAACAATAACATGCATTTTGTATGATCCCTCTTATTTTGGTAAAATAATTAACATTTTGCAGATTCTGCTAGGGGAACTTTTGACCTCAACTGTAAGTGTGTCATTATCACCTCACACTGACCACATCAGTGACAAGCTGCCAACTATTAGTCAAATGTGATAAGCCATTCAATCATATTACTAGTGGTTGTATTTATGATTTTTCAGCCATTTCGACTTAAACCGTATTAGTTACTAGATACTGCAGTTGGTCTGGTGCTCCCTGCCATATTTAGCTTCTTCTTTTGCCACTGTTGTTCTTGGACCCTTAATTGCTGCTTGCAGCTATATTTGGTAGTGATGTTCACAACATGGCCCAGGCCAGGCAATCTATTAAAATCAGTCTCATGACAATAGGCTAAAGAAATCAATATCTATTAGCATTTTTTGAGAAGGAATGGTGCCAATGACACATGCAGACTTTTTTGATAATACAAAATACCACATTTTACTACAAAGTTCAAAATGGCAGTCACCCAAAATGGGTGACATTATTTTGGATATTTTGGATCAGTCTCAAGGAGTCTCATGATTTTTGATCGTTGAGACCAAAATCCACTGTGCAGAAGTCATAAGCATATCCACAGGTCATGCTTGTCATTACCAGGGTTCGGAGGGTTACTTTTAAAATGTATTCCATTACAGTTACAAATGACTTCATTAAAAAAGTATTCAGTAACGTAATCCAAGTACCACAATATAAAAGTAATGTAATCTGATTACTTTTGGATTACTTTAAGTTACATATGTAAATAAGTCAAAAAAAGCAATATCTAAGTACTTTTATTTAGCTATGACTTTAAAATTAAAACTAATAAAAACTATAGAAAAAACTATTTGAAACTATTAAAAATCGTGTCTTGTTTCACCATCTAGATATTACAGGCCATATATTTATATAAAAGGCTATGCAGACATCTAGTGGCTATATAGTTTTTATTTTTATTATTATTTATTTTATTTTATTTCATTAACATATACAAGTAATAATAAATATAGTTTAAAACAACAATATAAAAAAATTGACACCATATACATATTAGACTATTTTAAAATAAGCCTACATGTCGAAATGCATGTGAAATGCTATGATCTTTCTTCGTTTCATTGACTGATCCGGGGTGTGGGGACTCTCATGTTAATTTCTACATTTTCAGACTCATTTTCCATTAGAAAACTTACAACTGCAGTCATGCACAGCATCGAATTTTAAATCACTAACCAACACTACATTTTAGCTAACATTATGATTTCCAAGCTAGTCGGACTCGTAGCTGCAAATGTTCAAGTTGGTTGAATAGCCTTTGTTAAAGCAAGAGTCTTCATGCATAGCTTACGCTGTACAATTGAAAACAAAATAACTGTGAAATTTCCGGACATGAAAACGTCATTCACAGCAGGAGGCATCGTAATTAATTTACTGTAGCAGCGTCTCGGTCATCCCGTGAATTTGAGGAGAATAATTGTAGACGGGTGTTATTTTCGAACGCACACACCAGCAGGCGGCTCACGTGACTCAACATGTGCCAACAGAGCCAGGAACTATGCAGCGCTAAATCTATAGCGTTATGTCAAAATACCCATTTATTTAATTTTAAATGAAACAAATGTAATCCTACTACTAGTATTCCCACTTTTTACAAAATGTAACTGTAATCTGAATACTTTGTTTTTGATGTAACTGTAACGAATTACAGTTACTAGATTTTTGTATCCTGATTACGTAACGCCGTTACTTGTATTCCATTACTCCCCAACCCTGGTCATTACACACACCAAGTTTGGTATGAATACTCTAAAGTTTTGTGTATAGATTGCCGCTTATCTATTTTGACATGATCTTTGTCAAATTTAATTCACACATTTTTTTGAGAACGGTTCAAATTCCATAAGTTTTTGTTATTATTGTTAATTAATTGATCTGTAGACCACAAACTTCAAAGGTGTATTTAAAACAAAGCTCTTCACTGACAGATGAGATTATTCCACTCAAGAGTTTAGCAGTCACTATTGTCTTCTACTTTATAGTTAGATTGAATTTGTTCATAACTGATTAATTTTGCAACATATTTTGTAACTTGAGCTGATTAACAACACTTCTGTCTTCAGTAGAGCTGCTTATGCTTGTTTCCTAGTGAACAAACTTTACACACTTATTGAACTGAACTGAACCAACACTGTACTTACTGAATAATGATGCTATCGTCTTCCTATGCTATCATCTTTCTATTGTCTTTCTTGCATCACTGATTCTGTTACTTTTCTGTTTAATACTGTGAAGCTGCTTTGAAACAATCTCGTTTGTACAAAGCACTATTCAAATGATAATGACTTGACATCCATTGAATTACATATTCAGGAGCATTACAAATGTCAGTGTGTTATCATTATGAAAAAAATGTGTCATGGTTACTGCTGACTTGTAAATGGTTGTGCTTTGTCCAGGCTGTCCTTGAAAGTCCTTGGCCAAGTCGTAACCGTAGTGGACTCTTCATGTGGACCAAAATGCGGAACCTGGTGCGAGGAGTGGTGCAGTTTAAACAGGCGTTGCGTGGAACAGCACTTAAAGGAGGACCTTCTCTGATAACCACAGGTTTGAGTTCCTTCCTTCCTATGCTCATGCATTTGAAAATTGTTTTATACATATTGCCCCTTTGTGGTATTTAGATATGGTTAGATACAGGATGCAGTTTGGTGGTTGACTGCTTTTGATATTACAACCTCTGGACACTTTATCCCCGCTTCTGGTCAGACGGTAATGCATTTGCCATTTCCAACAGTAGAGTTTTCCTACCAGCATATTCAAATATGCATTACAAATTCTTCTGAGTGGAATGGTAAGCAACTAGACTAATATTACTTTATCATTTTATAAATGGCATGCCAACACTTTTACTAGCTACTGCAGTGCACTTTCACTGCAACCACTCTTTCATGAGACCAAAGCAGATTTTCATTTGGTCAATCACACTCTGGGTATATGTACAGTATCTTAGTGTGGTCTGGGCTTTTTGCAGACTACTCAAGTTCTTCCACATCAAATTCAACTCCAGCGCTCGCAAAATCGCTAGCCCGACGTCCCGGGGCTATTGTGTTTTCTAGTCGGGCTACCAAAAGCCACCCTTCCCGATGGGCTATCTTGAACAGTTATATCAAATTCCTTCAAACTCTTTCGCATATCCTTTCATCAGAATGAACACATACACACATACACACAAAATGATCTCAAACATTGTCTCTGCAAGTATTCTCGTAAACACAGTCGGTTATGCCTTAAGTGAACGTAAACCGTGGAGAAAGAAATCTGAAGTGCATCATTATATTTGATCCGTGGTCTTAAAGGGGCAGCAGCCTATAAATACGGGCTGTTCCATAAGCGTCACCTGCTGTCAGAGAGTGACATTTGCGTCTCATTCACAAAGCTAAAATCAGACCATTCAGTTTTTGCTTCAAATTTCGAAATTATACAATCTAATTGCAGTCTAAATAACATGTATTTAGCATCTTTGTTTGGATCGGACATTTTAACAGTGGTTGCCTCTGAAAAAGCACAGCCAAAGCCTTAGTTTGTTTATATAAAGAGATTTATTTGATTTGTATTATTTGATTTGGGATTTGTTTTAAATTAAGTTAGTTTTATTATTTGACATATTTCAATTTCACAAAGAAATGTGCAGCATTTTGTTGGAGAAATAATAAAAGGACACCTTTTCATTTATAAGTTGTCTTAAATCTCATTTTGTTAAAAAGGAAAATTGTGAGAAAATTGTATTGTGAAATCAGTATCGTGAATCGTATCGCATCGCATCGCATCGTGAGTTCAGTGAATCGTTACATCCCTATACTAGTTTTTGCTGTTGTATCAAAGAAATATTCTGTTATTTAAATAATAAAGAACCATATTTTTTTGCTCATCTGCAAAATGACCCGATCTGTTATTCAAAATCTGATATGATAATGCAATATGATCCGAGCCGTGGGTGTTGTGATCCCTTGCACCCCTACTCTCTTGACTTGTTATTTGAAGAAAAAAGCGATCACTGAAGTTTTTAATCATGCTGATTTGTCTGCAGTGAATTTCAGCCGATGTCTTTTTTTTAATATTCGGGCTACTTAAAAACCAGCGATTTTGACATTTTGCGAGCCCTGAACTCTATAAAATAGGTATATTTGTTTTGGAGACCTGATTTGTGCAAAAGGGTATTGCCATGCTTAAATAGAAAAGGATTATCCCCAAGCTTTTCTATAATTAAAAAAATAAATAAAAAATCTACAGCAAGTAATTGTATGATGTAGTTTCATGATTCGTCTTTACAAACATGACTGCAAGAGTCAAACTTAATTAAGAAGCTATTATACTATTTTTAATTCTATATAGCTAAACAGAAAAAAATTCTGGACTGCAAATCAACCATAATGTTGAAAATGTCATGCAATTGAAAAAAGTTGCTATGGAAAAACAAATAGTTTGCCTACATTGAACATTCAGGCTAAAATTCACAAAACTGCACTACAATTAAATGACTAAACTACTGCTAAATGACTAAATAAACAATTAACATTTAATTGTGGCGCAGACCTGTGCACCCATAGTCTGGCAAATGCTGGCTTGGAGCACATTACAATCTCTAGCAAGCTGTTTAAATTTGCATTAATTATTTAGCAAATGCAACTTTAAAATGATAAATGTAAAACAGGTATTATAAATGTAGGACTAATTTTATTTAGACATGTGTGATAGTAAAGATTCAATAACATAAAAAACAAGTAATGATATTTAGTTTGATCTTCAGTTCTTACCTTTATGAAACAAATTTGTGAAATGGTGTGTGTTTTTGTATAGAGCTTTCAGCGGGTACAGCAGCAGGTGCTGATGGAGACAGACTGAGTCATGGCAGTATAGACCGCTCAAATGACCCTATTGTAGAGGAACACATTCTCTTCCCTCACAGCCTTATAGTTGAGGACGCTATTGACAGTCACTATAGTACAGGTACTGTAGATGTGACATTAAATATAATTTTACTTATGTTTCTGTTTTGTATTGTTGACTGAGGATGTTTTGTATTTATGATTTCATAAGCCGGTCAGTCTGATCAGGGTTATGGATCTAAGGACGAGCTGCCCCAGGACCTTACTGATGGACCTATAACCTCTCCACCTCTCTCCACCAACCACACTAGCAGTAGCAAAGGAACCAAGATCCAAAATGGTACTGTAATACAACAATTGTCCCACACTTTATGGACTTAATATTTCTTGTGTAACAATTTTTTTTTTGCCACAGTACTACTGCAATGCCATTTTCACTCAAATTTTTACAAATTACATTGTTTTGTGGGTGATATTTTATTCTTCTATGATAATTAAATCACTGAAACAGAATGAAACCGATAATGCAGTCTTTAAACCTCTTTAATCACATACATTAATGTGTTATTATTTACATCCCTGTATTGTCTATTATACACTGCTGTCAGGATCATTTATTTAAGATAGTGTCATCTTTTTGTCTCTTTAAAGGGGACGATGTTGCAAGTTCTGTAGACAGTGTTGTAGCTGTGACAGAGCCCCCCAGCCCTGCTGAGATGGCACCTTCTGTAGCCAGCATTGTTAAACTGTCTACTGAGATCCCTGTCCACTTTGACAGCACTGCAGACAGGGGAGAAACTGGTCAGTCACTGAAAATTTACTCTATGATTAACAAAAAGACTAGGTACAAATTCTTTTTCCTGCATTTTATTTTCACAGAACAGAAACCTAAACTTACTTAAAACTTGAACATTGTTATTTTTGTTGCCTTGCGAGCACTGTTTTTTTTTTCCTTTTGGACATGCAAAATCTAGTGTTTATTTAGAGCTTTATAAAGTAAGTAACATTGTTTTTGTTGTCTTAAATGTCTCCAGCAGGTGTATGTACAGCTAAGCTCTTCATTCCCTGTAAGAAGAGTGAAGATGTGGCCCTGCCTGTGGAGGATGACTCTGTAATCACAGTTTCACAACTCTCCCAGGCTGGACAGCAACAGAGGATGAAAGCCTTTGTGGAGCGCAGCTGCAGTTTCAGTGCAGAGAGCAAAGCTGGCATGCTACAAAAGAAGGGCAGTCTGGAGCTCAGTGCTGATCACATGGGCGCAGATGCAAAAATCCTTGCATCTGCATTCTCCGGCAGTCTGACCCCTCCTCCATTTACAACCATCACTCCCTTTAAAGAGTGTAAGATGGAGGCTACAACGAGCTCTGCCCTCCAGCAGGAACATGAAGATAAGCAGAAGGAACACAAAGTATTCAGTTCTGCAGAAGAGAAAGTGGGGAAAAGTAGAGAGCAGAAAGATTCAGTAGACACACCCCAGGGGAGCGAAGTTGTTGGGCGAAGCATAAGCAGTGGCTCTTCCTCCTCTAAAGCTGTGGAAAGGGAGGATGTTGAGATGGGGGCGGATCCTCTTTCACTCTTTGCATCGGAAACTGAGGATGCAACCTCCATTCAGAGCCAGGAGTCCACACGGCCCTTTCCACCTATGGTGTCAAGGAATCTTGCAGATGAGATTGAGATGTACATGAGCCTCCAGAGCCCCTTGAATGGTAAATCTTCCAGCATGGAGTTGCATCAGGGATCAAGCCACAAATCAGTTAACTGTCCAGACTCTCCTGAAGTAAAGCAGTCTTTGGAAAGAAGATCAAGCCTTCCGATCGGTCCGGTCAAAATTGCCAGTTTAACAGAGACTCCGAAGCGTAGCCCTGCTGTCACGCGTTCTAAGACATTTGCAGTCAAGTCCCCCAAGACCCCAGGCTCTGCAGGCCAAAGGTCATCATCGCTGACTGCGCTTGTAAAGTCGTCACAGAGCAGTTCACTGGGATCCGTCATCAACTCCATATCAGGCATCAAGATGGACTCTCTGCTGTTAGGGCCTAAAGTAGATATGCTCAAGTCAGGCATGAAGCAAGCAGCCAATGTGGCCAGCAAAATGTGGGATGCAGTGGCCTCAGCCTACTACTCGGATGATGAGGTGAGAGACTGTAAGAAATAAAGATGTTAGGAAATCCAGAGAGGTTTTCTTGAGTATCTTCATGATAGGAGATCATGATGCACACAAACCAAAATCTGAGTTACACCAACTGCTCTAGAGAATAAAACTCAGGAGTAATTACCTACCTACTGTTTGTTGAGGGCAGTAGCTTTTAAAGGGGTCATGAATTTCTTTTCTTTTTTTTACTTTAAAATGCTTCCTGAGGCACACTCATTATGCAGGACTTTCCATTAAACATTTTGAAATAAAAGGAAATTTATACCCTGATTGTTTGTTAAAAAAAATTAAATCTTCATGTGTCCTAGCATGCTCTTGCCCCTGAGGGTCCCTATAGACCTCAATTTGGTTTAAGAAACTAAAATATCCACTAGTTCATCTCATGAAGTACCAAAACTCCCTGTGTGTGTTTAGTACCGAAGCTAACCTCTTAAGCATTCCAGTTTTTCCATTGTAAATGTTGGACATATGTTTAGTCTGGACTGTATTTTGGATGTCTGTGATTCAGGAGGAAAGCTCACAGCCCAGAGACAGTTTCCCTGCTAGGCTAGAAGAGCAGTTGTTGTCTGCAGAAGGAGCAACAGAGAACACTTTACCCAGAGGCCTGATGCCCAGCCTGGCCTCAAACGGGCTCACACACAGCAACACCAGCCTGGGCAGCAGCAGTGAAAGCAGCGATACCAGCCGTGCACAGCTGTCGACACGTAAGACTCATACATGCATGTCATGTTGAATGTCCACTCCAAAACACATGTATCAGCATGAAGCCAACAAAGATTTGTTTCATCAGTCATTTTATTTCTAATTTGAAGATAATGTGTTGTTATTGCAAGGTTAACCGTGTGTACACCGTGTTCATTTGTTTGAAAATTTCTCTTTTTTTGGCATTCTTTACAGCTTTGACTCCAGGCCGCTCAGTGAGAGGTGCAGACTCAGAGAGGTCTGAACATAGTTCCTCTCATCATGCCAGCACCTCCAGCATTTACCAGAATTGTGCTTTAGAGGTGAGAGCATCACCCTCTGCTGATGCTTCAATACAGTATCACTTCAGAATTAAGTAGTAAAGTTGAACTTCATGTTTCTTTTGGGCAGGTTCTAATGTCCAGCTGCTCTCAGTGTCTGGGTTGTGAAGCTCTGGTGTATGACGAGGAGATCATGGTAGGCTGGACAGCTGATGACTCCAATCTCAACTGCACCTGTCCTTTCTGTCAAATCTCTTTTCTCCCTCTACTCCATGTTGAGTTCCACGACCTGCGCTCTACACCGGGGTGAGTTACTAAACCACTTGATGCTGAATTATGCACTGCAAGTGCATTTTACTTGCTTTTACTGTGTTGAAGAAAATTAAGAAACATATTTAAAAAATGCATTTTTGTAATATTTAGATTTTTTTTATTTTTTATAATTCAAGTTTATTAGTATAGCGCTTTTCACGATACAAATCGTTGCAAAGCAACTTTACAGCAAATTAAGTTTCTACAATATTTAGTGGTAGCTTATCAGTGGTGACTGTCAGTTAATGTACATATGGCAGAAATGTACGGAAAAATCCATTAAAGACGTAATAAAACAGACAATGAACACTATTAACAGCAATTATTATATGATGCAACCAAACTTATAGCAAAATGTGGTAGTTCTGTATGTTGTTTCAGGGTTGGCATCATCTGACACATTATTCATGTACAACTAGGAAATTAAACTTAACTGTGCTTGTTGGCAATGGCATATGTTCATATGGGTCACATAAGTGTCTTGTTCAGTGTTTTGCACCACAAAAACAGATGCTATTTTGATTAATAGAGAGTAATAATAATAATAATAAACTGCTCCTGTGTATTTTTGGTTTACAGCTTCTACTTGAAGACAAGCACATCAGGAGACAGTATTAACAGCTCCAGCAACCATCCGGCCACCTCTGTCTCCTCTGAAGTGAAAGTGGGTTGTTCTAGTGACCCTCCAGGCCTCATGAGCTTCCCAGAATCTCCTGAAGACAGCAAGGGTCCTGTTGAGATGCCTGTCACTCAAACTGGAACCCCAAAGATGTATGTGAGCACATTCTTGAAATGTAACAAAACAACTTTTATGTGGTGAATGAGTAAATATCAAAGGCTTGAATTTTGAGATCAGTATATAAGTGATATTAAAGTTTTTATTGTTAAATAATAACTGAAATAATTTGTTGCTAAAATTTGGAATTTATTTTCCAATTAGTAGGTCAAATGGGAATGTTTTTGGCTAACTGATTGTTTGTGTCATGAATCTCAGATCACATTATGATTTCTGATTTGCACCATAGCCTGGTACCAGAGCCAGTACATTCAGACCCCCTGGGTCTCATGGAGAAACAAGCTGAGAAACGTAACACTTTAACTCGGAGCAACAGCGTGGGAGGCCCACTGCAGAGTTTGGATTCGATCCAAAGACCCAATCATGGCATTTCCACTACCAGCCTTCCCAGCAGCCTACATGAGGTGGCGGTGAGTGAGAAACATCCTGTTTTAATATTCTGTGAGCTTTATGAATTATACTTATTGCTCACAATTGATTAATTCTGTATTTTGATGTTCCAGGACACCCTGAGTCAAAAGTGGCCAAACCCAAAACCAGTTTCTGTGCCGTATCTCAGTCCACTGGTCCTTCGTAAAGAGTTAGAATCGCTGTTAGAGAATGAGGGGGATCAGGTATTCAAGCTTGATTTTACTACAACCTTTCAGTAAATATATGTGGTTATATTCATCAAATACTTCCCTGTTGCCCTTTCCTGTTTTGAGTGTGAGGCAAAGAACTCTGTGAACCCTTTATTTGTGTTAGTCTCTAGCTGTGTTAAGTATGTATCACTAAGATGTGCAGAAGGCAACCGCCTGTTGCCTTGTATTGTGGTTTTGGCTTTATGTATGTATGGCCTCTAATTCATCCATATCCATTATCTCTCAGGTAATCTATACTCATAAGTTCCTCAGTCAGCACCCCATCATCTTCTGGAACCTGGTTTGGTATTTTCGCCGTTTAGACCTGCCCAGCATTCTGCCTGGACTCATTCTCACATCTGAACATTGCAACAATGGAGTGCAGGTACTTGACATTTTTTCACACTGTTGATGCTCTTACTGACTAGTTCAGAATGAGTCTTTAAATGTCTCTTTATGAAAATATGCCTCATATTTGTGTACCTCAAATTGTGTGTACTGTGATTTCAGCCCAGTAATTGTTTGCTAAATGCTGGTTGAACTGAACTGGCATAATGCTCCCCTCTCTGTTTTTCTCCCGTAGCTCCCACAGACATCTCTGTCTCAGGACAGTAAGCAGGTGTATGTGCAGCTGCTGTGGGACAATGTCAACTTACACCAGGAGCCCACAGAGCCCCTCTATCAGCTTTGGAGGACCTTCTGTGAGTACAGCAGGAGCACTTTGAAATTATCATTTTTATTTTTTTTCAGTATTGTCACGTTTTTAGAAACAACCAATGAGAATGTGCACTTTATATCTTTATAAACTTAATAAATAGTGTAGAGAAACCTCATGAATGGATTGCCAGTAGACTACTTCATGTCACTGAATGTGAGTGTCATTGTCGTGCAGTGCAAAAAAAGGGCACTCTAGCCCCCACTGACCACCAGGAGACTCGGACTCTGCTGAACAGCATTGTACGCAGCATTCAGACGAACGATGTTTACGGCCCCATCAACATGCTCCTCAGGGAGATCAAGAAACGCCCAGAAGTTAAACGCCAGAGGTTGGACATGCATGCAGCAGCTTGTATATGTGACTAGTTTAGGCATGAAGCTCTAGATTCCACATGCTTATAGATCATTTACATGCAATCTTAAAGCAATCGCATTGTTTACTATATGGCACAAGCTAATTTGCCTCTGTTGCTTCTGCAGCCAATGAGCTTGCTTGCTTTCCTAACCAAAAAATCCAGATTCAGTGTTTGCTATAAGCTGGTTCTGCAGCATGAGTTTCTCTGAAAATCTAAAGATAAGTGAACAATGTGAAAACTGAAACTCTGTAAGGTAAATAAATTGTTATCCTAAAAATGTGGCTTTAGAATTTACCTTTATAGATTTATTATATATTTTAGAGACACTAGGTACGTTTACATGGACACATTTTTGCTTCCATCGGAATGAATTCATTCTGATTGACGAATCCGAACGTAGTGTTTACATGAACGCTTAATATAGTGATTGGGTTGATATGCGCGTTTATATGTCACAAGCTTCTGATCGGATTTAATCTTTTGACATGCTCAGGACAGTAAGCAGGTGTATGTGCAGCTGCTGTGGGACAATGTCAACTTACACCAGGAGCCCACAGAGCCCCTCTATCAGCTTTGGAGGACCTTCTGTGAGTACAGCAGGAGCACTTTGAAATTATCATTTTTATTTTTTTTCAGTATTGTCACGTTTTTAGAAACAACCAATGAGAATGTGCACTTTATATCTTTATAAACTTAATAAATAGTGTAGAGAAACCTCATGAATGGATTGCCAGTAGACTACTTCATGTCACTGAATGTGAGTGTCATTGTCGTGCAGTGCAAAAAAAGGGCACTCTAGCCCCCACTGACCACCAGGAGACTCGGACTCTGCTGAACAGCATTGTACGCAGCATTCAGACGAACGATGTTTACGGCCCCATCAACATGCTCCTCAGGGAGATCAAGAAACGCCCAGAAGTTAAACGCCAGAGGTTGGACATGCATGCAGCAGCTTGTATATGTGACTAGTTTAGGCATGAAGCTCTAGATTCCACATGCTTATAGATCATTTACATGCAATCTTAAAGCAATCGCATTGTTTACTATATGGCACAAGCTAATTTGCCTCTGTTGCTTCTGCAGCCAATGAGCTTGCTTGCTTTCCTAACCAAAAAATCCAGATTCAGTGTTTGCTATAAGCTGGTTCTGCAGCATGAGTTTCTCTGAAAATCTAAAGATAAGTGAACAATGTGAAAACTGAAACTCTGTAAGGTAAATAAATTGTTATCCTAAAAATGTGGCTTTAGAATTTACCTTTATAGATTTATTATATATTTTAGAGACACTAGGTACGTTTACATGGACACATTTTTGCTTCCATCGGAATGAATTCATTCTGATTGACGAATCCGAACGTAGTGTTTACATGAACGCTTAATATAGTGATTGGGTTGATATGCGCGTTTATATGTCACAAGCTTCTGATCGGATTTAATCTTTTGACATGCGCACACTGCATGAATATACAGAGTTTCCCGCTGTTGTCGCATACTTTTTTAAAAAGCACACGTGATATTTATCTACTTCAGGTCCTAATTAGGCAACAACCAGCACATAAACTGTTGTGCAGTGCTGCTTACTTAAAAAGTAGTAAAAGTGCCCAAAACCAGTTGTCTGTTGATGAGAATCTTAAACAAGGACTGGTGGGACGTTGTCCTGCTCCACTTCACAGACGCTGAGTGAAAGGGGAGTTTTATAATGATGGGACACTCATTTATGACACTTTATTCACCACAGTGTTGCCAGATTGGACATTTCCAAGTATCGTACCAGAAGCTTTTTTTATTCCAAATTTTAAAAAATTTGGATTCTGTTTTTTTTCCATTTAAATTTTTCTGGACACCTTTTTAAATGGTTAAATTGAATTTTATTATTCAAAAGCACGTCTAATTAAATAATGAAATGTATACAATTCAACATCAAATCTATTAAAGAGTTTAACAAAAATGACATGTTTAGGGTCTTATGAAATGTTCTATTTTTTTCACCTTGTTTATTGTTACCAAATTCTGTGTTTTAATATGTCTAATTATTTGAATGCATAAAGACTACTTGTATTTATAGCCTTATTTTTTTTTTTTTCTTTAGAAATTCTGCGTTGTGTATTTTAATTTTTCTGGTTATAAAATGAAGGCATAACACATTAATTTAATTTATCTTTTAATTAATGAAAATTAATTTACTATTAAAATTAAAACATGGAAGAAATATTGTGATTATTCCTTAATAATTTTAGTAGTAGTTGTTGTACGTACATTCTACTGAACAATAGTAATACATTTCTGGCAGAAACTATATATTTTTGAGTCTCAGAGCAGTTCTGTTCTGGGGATGTTGCTCATGTATTTATGTCCTATTTAGTGTGAAGGCAGATGCTGAAATCACCACGAGCGTATGTGTGTAGTAAACAAAACTGCGTGACATTCCTTCAGACCATAGATTATGATTCAGACAGACACAGAACATGCAGGATTTATATTTAAATAGCCTTTTTTTGCGGCTTAATATTTACAGATACTAGTCCATATCACGATTTAAGTGTAATGACCTTTCTTTGATTAATTCATCCAAACTTTGACAAATTCTGTGACATTCTGCATTATACAGTAAATTCCGTTGACTGGATTCCGCAATTCCATCCGTGTTTTCTGCACAACACTGATTCGCCAGGAAGAACAGTTCGTTCCACGCGTCATACGTCATTACGCTAGTTCTACATCACTGTACAGTACTTTCCAGTTTCGGTTTTCAATCCGATCAAGTGTTTACATGTCCTCTCGCTCGGATTACAAAAGGAATAAACCACCCCTTACAATCCGATCGAAATTCTAGTCGGATCTGGCCAATTCAATCCGATTGACGTGTTAACGTGACTTTTTTATTCTGATTGTGCTTCTAGCCCTATTACGATCGGATTAGTAGGGTCCATGTAAACGCAGCTAACTTACTGATGTGCATTAAACTGCAAGAGCTCACATCACAAGCAAGGAAGAAAATCACATCTGGAAATGTTATTTGATAGCCAGCCACTTGTGTTTGTATGGATTTAGACCATTAATTTTCTTTATTAGATCACCCTCATCTGCATCTCTAATAGTAAAGAATATTCAACTTGGTTCATTCAAGTCAGGTTGTTTATCTATATAGCATCCACAATACACATTGTTTCAAAGCAGCTTTATAGTAAGTTATTCTGTTACATCTATATAATGGCTTAATGCTTTAACATTGAGCAGTTTTAGGGCTGGGTGATATGACCACAGTTTGAGATCTAGCTATATTGTGTTTATTTTTTAGCAGATATATCTGTACCACTTTTAGTGAACCGGACTGAATTTTATGTAATGAATATTTGCAGTGTCTCGGACGTGAAAAAAACAAAACTTATTAGTAAAAATATTAGTAATATGTAAAAATTACATATTAGTCTGTTTTATTCTAAAGTGCATGTAAGCTGTTTTCCAAATATTCGTATCAAGCAGTTAGTCTGGTGATTTGTGTTTGTTTACACAGTGTGCTCCTGAGCGCATCCTAAAATATGGTGACCATTACACAGAATGCAACATGCCGTGATATATAGGTGTGATTTATAGGTGTTTTCAGTGTATTTCTTCATTACTAATCTAAATGCTTCTAATTGGTGACTGCATTCATATGCTCAACAGAAATGTGTGATTGGTTGTAATTCTCAACACTACAGAAAAAAAAAGTTGATTCAGCTATTCAGCCGATTCATTCAGCTAGCTCCACAAAATGTTCATTATCTAGCTCAGTTCAGCTCAAGATTTTTCCTCATCCGATAATATCAGTACAGTCAAATTGATAATATTAATATTAAGTGTCTTTTAAACTTGATCTAAGGTGACCGCAGCAAAGAATCCAAACTCCATTAGGTGGCAGAAATGATGTAACATGTTCATCAGGTGTTATAGGAAGTGTTCTTGGTTCCGGTTTATTAGATTATCTATTAATCAGAGTATTTGCGAGATGTGGTCATATTGCCCAGCCCTACATTGTATTTGCATAAATATAAAGACACACAGCACATAGGCACAATTTTTTAGAAGCACACTTCATTTGTCTTACTCGTAGTAGTAATAATAATAAACAGATTTTCTGTTCCTCAACTGCCCCCAGACTTTAAGTCAGTGGTCTCAACCTCAGTTCCTGGAAGGCCACTGCCCTGCAGAGTTTAGTTCCAAGAAGGATAAGCAAATTGAAACTACACACATGAGGACAGAGTACGGTCCCACAAAACATAGATTTTCACTAAGGTTTCTAAATTTAAATGCATATACAGTATTCACTTACTATGAGTGTTCTTAATCATTCAGGTTCTGAGCCCACCTCACTGATGATATAACAGTCATCAATGTGTATGATTACTGATTGTTATACGCAAGCACTGGTGAGTTTTGCTTGTTTTGTACTGATTTAAATGAACTATTATTCATAAATCCAGTCAGCGTTAAAATGTATGCTTTTAAGCAATATTTTGTATGATAAGGTGGTCAGAACTGGCAGTGTTTAATTAATCTGCTTTTTTTGGGCATCATGCATGTGGTTACAAATGCAAGAGTTGAAATTAGATATTTTATAATAAGGATAAGAAATGTCACACATTCAGATGCTTTTATGTGAATAATAAGCATGTTCATTTATGTTAACGTGCACTTGTGAATATTTCATGCAGTTGACAAGCAATGTTAATGCTGAATCAGTATTTCACCTCTATTGGAAAAAATAACCTACTGTTTATGAAGGAAAGATTAGAGATAGATAATGAAACTTTAAGATAATTTTGTGCAGATTGGTTTTTATTGCATACAGATTCTGCATGAGTGATCCATACTTTAATGGTGAACAAGAACCAATGATCTGTGATTCATAATTCATGGTCTAAAATGTATTGTAATTCTACAGGGATCAACTGAACCCTACAGCTAAGCTGAGATCTCAAACACACACTATATGGTTAAAAAATTATATAAAAGGCCTTTTCACACATTTCCTTTACATTACTCAATTACATTTACACAGCTAGACATTTACAAAGACTAGGAACTTTTTTTCTCCTAAAATGAATGGACATTACAATTCGGGTGGAAAAAAAACATTTAAAAAAAAACCGGGGTTGCTTTCTAGTTTGTTAATAAATGCATTGTCGTGCATTGTTAATAAATGTGCTGGCTGTTAACAGTTTTCCAGACTA